GTTTTGGCGCGGAACGATGGCTCTCGTTTTCGGGCTGAGATCTGAATGCTGGAGCCAGAATGATCACCAAAACTCGCGATGTGCACCTCTCTCTCTCACTCGCTATCTCTTTCACAAAGCAAAACCCCAATTGCGTCGAAAGCTAGGCCACCAAGTCCCCAAAGAACCCCACAAACCGCCAGGACCAACCCCCCCAACCCCATCGACTCTCCGACCCCCGACCCCAAAACCACCCCAAAACCACCAAGCCCCAAAACCTGCCGGAAAAAGCAAACAAAAACCGAAAAAAGAGGATCCCCCTCCAATCGCATCCAAGGAACTCTTGGGCCAGGTGCCTTCGTCCAGCAGGTCCAGCTCCGGGGTCCGCAGCCTCTTCAGCGCCGACGCCCCGAAGGAGCTCACGGCCCCGTAGCGCCGCTGCCAGGCGTTCTGCCGCCGCAAATCGGTGCTCCACACGTGGAAGCCCTGGGCCAAGGCCTCAGCTTCGGCGAATTCGCCAAGACGTTGGGCCAGTTGATTACGTAGGTTCATACCGAAAACCGTCAAGCGCGAAAATTGATTTCTTTTTAAACATCCTTTTCAGATTGGTTGAGTGCACGCAAAGAATTCCTGATAGGTCGCGCCACTAGGCTTCGAGCCGATTGTCTAAGCTCCCGGCGTCAATGACCACAAGCCCAAGTAAAACGGCACAAGTAAGCGAAGCAGCAAGTTGCCTCCAACAACCAACAATTGTACTAGGGGATTCATGTCCACCAACAATTCAGGCGGGTGTTCCTCACCGAAAGTTGTAACTTCCTGGTGAATTCCTGTTGAAGCTGCCACTTTTGGAGATGCCAGGTCCAAAAAAGCGAGCGTTTTAACCCCAAAGTCCCAAAAAGATGGTTAGTTTAGAGGTCCGGAGAAAGAAAGCAAGAAAGCAAGAGAAAAAAAACGGCGCGACCCCAAAAGCCTCCGGTTTGGCTCGCATCCCACGCGCGTGCCACTGAGCCTGATCGCCTCGGAGTCCGAGGCGCCACCAGCGACGGCGCCCCCACGGAGGCGGCGATCTCCAGGAACCGCGTGCGGCGCGGGGCTCTCGCGAAGGTGGCCACGGAGAAGACCAGCGCCGACTCCCCGGCCTGCGGTTTTTGCGTGTTGTTTTTTACAGATATCTTGTTGTTTGGTTTCTTTTTGTGTTGTTTGTCAGAAAACAATCATTCATTTGGTTTAGTGGTTTGGTTCATGTTTTTTACATTCACCATTTTGACACGTTCTGGAAAATGATACTTAATTGCATTCGCCATTTGCTTTAAGTGGGTTTAGTGGGTTTATGTTTTTACATTCACCATTCTTTACCCTCGCCAAATTTAGATCGTCTTCGGCGGTAATGGTGGTTTGGTGGTTTATTTTCCTTTTAAAAGGAAGGTCCAAACCACAAATTAAGGGGTACCTAATACATGGCTGCGAAACCAAGTTTTGCAGTGGTTCAAAAAACAAAACAAGACACGGCTAAGAGAAACGCGATTTTCTTCAAACATGACTGGCGACAGCCATTTTTTTCGCAAATTGGTTTACAAATGTTGCATGGGTTTGAAAACAAGAATAAAACAAAATAAGGGACGCATATGGAGAAAAAAAAATAGAAACATAATATGTTTGCATGGGCGTGAGTTTTATTTGGGGAAGAAGGGAGACCTTTAGAGGAAACCACACGCCGATCTTGAGACCGAATTACACGTCCGACCAAAAAACGTGTCGACAAAAATCAAAGCAAAAGACTGTTCGCACCCTATGTCCGAGAAAACTTCTGAAAGGACTGCACCCAACCTCCCAGACCAGGCCCTCGCCATTGCCCACCAGATCTTCGAAGGGGATGCGGCCCCGGGGGATGATGCCGTGCCGCTCCCACATCTCGAGGACTTGACCCTCGGAATCCCAGAAATGCTCCATGTGGGTGCGTCCCTTCTTGAGGAAAATTAGGAAAATGAGGAAAACGCTGGTTTTTGTGTGGCGTTCAAGGAAAACCAAGAGTAAAACCCACTCATGTTAATGCACCCCAAAAATGGATTTCGGTCTGCCCTTTGCGTTGCCTTTAAACCAACCTGAAAGGAGTACCCTCTAAAGACAAACACATATATATATATATATACACACATGAATGAGCGCCCAAAACCCACTGACTGTTGGTTCTACCTGGCCACACCGCCACTGGGCGAAGGCAGCAGTAAGACCTGTGGGGGTGTGGGCTCTACCAAAATGGTTAGAATGGTTGGTACAGGCCTGACTACAATCCTTGCAGGATCCCATACTAACATGGCTATTGGGGGCTTCGGGCGCTGCTGAAATAGGGGAAGGCAATTCAGACCTCAAACAATGGACAACTGTCAACAGCGGTCTCGTGAGAACCTCAGAAGAATCCCAAGGCAGAATCCGTGAGCCTGCACCACGTTGATGATGGACTCATCCGGCATTCGAAGCTGCCACATCATCTGGTCATACGCTGGCACCTTCTCGAGGTTGGCGTTCAGCACACAACACAACTCGTGCCGCAGGGGGCTGTCCTCTGCCCAGCAGGCCGGGTTCCCTCTCACCTGCCGCAAAAGCTCACCAAAAAATATGCCGTCTCAAACCTCGGGCGAACAAACAGCATGGCAAGCAAGAGAGGCCAATGGATCAAGCGTCTGTGACAGCAAAAAGTATGCCCAAAGAATTCCACCGGAGATCTGGAATGGCTTTGAAAGGAAAACCAAAAGGCTTTGGGGGAGGAGGGGGCGGCAAAAGCACCCGTTTGTGTTGGCTGGATTCCAAGTAACACTACCAACACTATGAAAACAAGTACCTTCATTTCGTGGTGAACATGCTTTCCACACCAAAAATTACCTTGGCAAACCATCCGAAAGTTCATTCGACCGCGCAAATTGCTGCGGAAAATATATTGCTTGCCCAAGTGGCCTTTTGTGTGAAGGTATCGCGTTTGGTACATCCAAGCAAGCTATCACAACTGTTCAGTACAAGTGACATGTTCAACAAACAATTTTCGCTGATGGAAAATCCCACGAGCAATAAAACGGATCAGTCCGGGAGCAAGTCAGCTTGATTCTCACTGATGTTAGAGGTTGTTGCTGGCATCTGTTTGCTTGCTCACCTACAAAAAGTGAAGGCACCCCAACCTGCTTGCAGAGAGGCATTTCCGGGAAACCCAAAAAATGGGCCAATTACAAGACATGGATGCCCTGTATTGTTCTTTCTTGTCAGGATTGGGTAATTTGCGCGCCTGCCTTCCTTAGATGTGGTAGCCGTTTCTCAGGCTCCCTCTCCGGAATCAAACCCGAATTCTCCGCCCGTTGCCACGGTTTTCCTATATGGTTGACACATTCAAAGTTGGTTCCCCTTCAAAAAGGGTACACAAAGTTTTAGGTTGCATTTGTCGCCTAAAGACTCGGTTGGAGTCTCCATGGTTTGTTTAAAGGCTGGCCATCAAAAGTCTCTCTTGAAAACAAAGTGGCCAAGTCTGCCTCTTTGAAGTACGTGTCAAAACTAGGACTTCTTGGGTGGTTCATGCCGATTGCGGCGCAATTGGAGGGGTCTCCAAATTGTTTGGGTTTGCTAAAAGACGAAAAGGAGTGGGATCCCCCAATTTTGAGACAAACCGATTTTGGACCTGAGCACTACCCTTTCAAGAATCCTGACGTCACCCTCCTAAATGGTTGCACTCAAAAATCCTCATGGTTGTCTAAAGGACTTTTCCTAGCCCAAGTTAGGATTGGACCTCGGAAAATTTCGACCCTTCGACCACTCCACGCGGCTGGAGAGTTGTCTCCCGCCTTATGCCGGCCCTCCAGAACCTCACTCAGTCGGTCCACATCATGACCGTGCCGGCAGCACTGGGAGAAGGTCCAAGGCCCTTCCCAGCACAACTCCTCCAGCCGCATGTTTCGAGTCGCGATATTTCACCCAGAACTCAGCGCTTGCTGCTGCTAGAACCATGTACCATAAATATTGTTTTCCGGGTGGTTCAACTCCCTCTGGCTACCTCTGTTCACAACAATGTGAAACCAGAAATCTTGGGGGGTTTAACCATCTCTCTCTCTCTCTCTCTCTATCATGTTTCTTTCCCACGTTTTGCCTTGGGGAGTCTTCGGGTGAACTGCCCGCCTCCGAGTCCCAGACCACCTGGCGCCAGTCCCCGAAGTCCACGTCCCTCGGTGGCTTGCCGCTGCGAAATCGGGGGTTCTGGCGGATTGTGAAAAAGGAAACCACCAGGCCCTGAAAAAAAAGGAAACCACCAGTTGGATGGTGTATTTCGGGGATTTGATGTTCATTCTCTGTTGAGCACCAAGGTTTGGTGGGGCTGGCTTGGTCAATTCTGCTCCCCCCCCCCCAGGCCAGCAGGGTGTGTTACAAAGAAGCGGCAGCCGTGCTGCCATGTCCATCCCATGACGGTCCCTACAACCGACCATTTTCGATGGTCCCAGTCGTGACCCATGTAGCCCAATTCAGCCAACGATCTTTGGCCAAGCTTCGATACCTCAATCGCCCCTGCCAGCCAAATGCTCCCAAGCCGGGCCCAAGCACCCATCGCTCAATGGAAGATCCGCATGTCAGTAGCAAGCACAAAAGAGAGCACTGCGATGCGTTCCCTAATTTCCAGTTTCGCGATCATAGTTTCTTCGGCTTCCATTGCCAAGCGGGTTGTAGTGCAGGCCACGTTTTTAATGCATGCGGTATGTTCGCCCAGGGCTTAGAGAACTGCCCGACTTGCCTCCCTTGGTCTGCGCCATCGTTGAGTGATCTGATCTACGAATCCAGTGCATCGGCCTGTGCAAGCCAGCCAAATGCCCAAGGCTGTGCCTTGCTTAAAATTCATCGGTGACTGAAGCCTCAAAGTGGCTGTGCTGAGCGTCTGATTGGCCCTGTCCGATGTGTCATCTTTTTGAGCCAAGCGCGCATGCCTCGCATGCCGGACACCACAGTCTCTCATGGCACAGTCTCTTGCGGGCATCAAAAAGGCGAAGCCATGCCTGGGAAGGCCACTCATCCCACCTCAGTGGGCCATGGAGTTTTCGCTGAGTCTCATGTCTTTTTTACAGGTCGCATGGTGAAATTCCTTCAAAGACATCAAAGATCCGTCTGAGTCTTGAATGGCCGCAAAACGGAGAACTTGCAGCCCAGAGTTCCCCAAGATGCGTAGAACCGATGGCATCCAGACAACACACAAACTGCATCTCTTCTGAGCTTCTTTGGGATGGGAAAACCCGCTGGCTTGAGCTGAATTCCAACTCAATCAGCCGGCGGTGAAGCAGACCGAGCACTCCCACGTGTTGCCCTGCCAGGACTGCTCCTCAGCGCAGAGCCCTGCTCCGAAAAGAGCAACAACAAAAAAGGTATCAGGGGTGTCAACAAGTCAGACGCTTCACACTCCATAGCTTCACGTCCACAGAAACATGCTGTTGAAACTGCTGTGGAAAATCTGTGACTGCGAGTGCCCCTGCCCATTGCTCTGAGACCAAGCGCGCGGCCCATTCCGTCCACGCGCCCGGGCCCGGCTCAGGCGCAGCCTGCCACTCCTGTCCGTGAAAAAAATGGGTGCACCACTGCATGGTTGCTTGGAAGATGTTCGACATCCGACAAAACCAGTTGTCAAGAGCCATGCTCAGTCTTCAAAGTCTGCTCGCTCTACTTATGATCTGCTCGTGATCTCAGCTCTGACTCTTCTGACAGTTGTGACCGTCGCCAGCAAGGACTGCTCAAGGTTGACAAGTTGACAAGAAATGCGCCAAAGCCAACATGGGCCTTCCCTCTCAGCAGTCTATTTGCAAGCTTGGCCCGCTGGCAGGCCGCAATACGGGTCGAGCAAGTGCAAATCGGAGCCCAGAGAGCACGTTAGCCCACGCGTCCCACTGTCATCCACCCAGCTCAGGGTGGGTTGGCCCAAGACCCCCTCGACTGCATGCCACCAGCAGTGCCGCTTTTTCGTGCTGCGGCTCCGTTGGGTAGGGCCACGTCATCCGGCGAGCCCGCAAGCCTTCCCCTGAACACACCCAAGGTGCTTCAACCTCGATCTGGCTTCCCTTTGAAGGAAGCCGTGTTCAAAACAATGTTACCCGTAGCTGCTCTGCAAAAAGTTTGGAAGCGAAAGAAGAGATGCCGAGGATGAAATTACATGAAGTCTCGGAACCTCTGCCATCAGAGACAAACACAAAGAGAGTTCTGAGATGCAAGGCCTCCGTACACACGATTTGGACAAGATTCTCTTCAATGGTCCGCATCCAAACGCATTGAGACTGTTCCGAGCAGGAGTCAAAAAACACACGGTTCATGTGGGTGGACAGGCCGAATGGCTCACTAGAACCCAAACTTTGAGACATGTTCGCTTTTAGCTATAGTGATCAACTTAACTCGATGGATCAGCTAGTAAGCCAATTAGCTGGCCAGCTAACGCCTTTGCTATATGGCTGTGGCTCAATAACATGTACCCAAATGGCACCTTGGTAAATGGAACCAAAGACTAAAACCTGCGTAACCCTAGCTAGTTAATTTTGAGCCACACCCATATAACCACTTCGCTAGCTTGGACTGGCTGACTAGCTCGTTGGCTAACTAAGTATCGTGCAAGCGTGCCCACACCCAGCCTTGTTGCGCTCGCGCCTCACCATGCCGCACTGCAAGTGATCTATGAAAAGCACAAGGTTCGCTTGAAACGTCAAAACCCCTGCAAGGTAGTCCAATGCTTACAGAAAGAAACATGTCGCTGACCCAGCCTCGGCTTGGCTTTCCCTGACCTGAGCTGCAAAGCCTGCTCCCCAGCCAGTTTTGACACGTCGCTTGGGATCCGGCGCGGGCGCGGGTCGCTCCTGCAACAGGCACAGGCGCTCCCGAAAGAGCCTTTCGAGTGTGTGTGTGTGTGTGTGAATCCCGGTAAACTTCCGCGACCATTCAACCCCAGTCACCAGTCGGTTCGACCAGGGCGCAGCCAAATCCACGAGAAGGAGATGTTGAAAGTCAACAAACAAACAACAATGGATACTTGGATGTGTTTTTTTTTCCCGGTTTTTTCCTCGGTTGTTTTTCCCGTTGTTTTTTTTGTTGTTTTTCTGCTACCCGTGTCGAAACATATCACCACGCCTCCGTTTCCGGAAGCGCAGCTGGCGGCGCCGGCGCCTCCGGCGACTCCGCCGGCACTTCTGGCTCCGGCTCGGCTTCCTCCGCCTCAAGGGGGCCCTCAGCTTCCCTCCAAATAGGCTTGGAGCCCAGTGGTTTGGAGGTGTTCCCAGGTGGAGCAATTTACCAGCCACGGATTCAGATCAGAATCCAATCCACCAATTTTTCATCCAGTAAGGGTTGCCTCATACCCGCTTGAGAAAAACCCACAGAGAATAAGCAAGGCAGGCAGCGCTGCTTCAGTTAGCCATAAGCTTCAACGTTTGACGGCTCTCCGCTGACGCACCCTGCCTGACCGCTCAGCAAAGACTGGAGCCACTCGTTCTCCGCCTCAAGTTGCTGGCAAATCACCCGAGAGCCTGCCAAGCATATATAGATATTATGCTATGGTGCTATGGTCCCGTCCTCTGTCCTCCCACCCCCACTCCCCCCCCCCATCGTCGACCCAGAAAAACGTGTGTTTTTGGCATCATTTACACAACCCATCAAGAGTTGAGCCCTCTGCGGACTTGCGGGGCTTGACCTTAAACCGCGCGCTGCTCAGGCGCAAAGTCTTTGGAAGGTCGCGCGGTTGTGTTCATTGCGAGGTGTCTTGCTTGGCAAGCGCGCGCAAGCGTTTGCGCAAGCGTCATTTTTGTTGGCCCTGTCGCACAATCGGCTCGTTTTGGCGGGCTCAAACTTTGTCAAAATCAGTCAAAATCACTCTGGCGCTGCAGTCCCGCCGCTCAATTCTCTCGCAAGCGTGTAAATGCTAGACGCGCCTGTCGCGCAGTACTTTGAGCGTTTTTTCTCTTAATTTGAAGAGCGGTGCGGTCAATTTCCTGACAGGCGCAGCGCTTTGGGTGGTCGTGCGTTGAGCTCCGTGGCAGGCGCTTTGGAGCAAGTCTCGCCGGAGGCGCTGATTTGCATGGCAGGCGCAGCATTTGGAGGGACTTCGCGGCAGCCGCAGCACTTTGGAGGGTTGCGCGTTGAACTTCGTGGCAAGTGTGGCACTTCGGACGTTTCGTGGCAATCTATGTATCTATGAGTCTTACTGCCTCTTTTTCTACATGTCGAAGCTCGTGCGTGTAGCGCTCCAAAGCGCTGCGCGCCTGTCACGAAATTAAACGCGCGAGCGTGCAAAGTATTGCGCACAGGTAGAGAAACAGATAGATAGATAGATAGATAGATAGATAAATAGATAGATAGATAGATAGATGGAAAAAATCGATAGCTGAAAATTGATAGACATACAAAGATGGATAGAACTATTCGATAGACAGCGAGATGGATAGAAAGATATTCAGAGAGATAGCAGAGATGAGTAGATAGAAAAAAAGATAGAAAGATGATCAAAGGCTAGATTCGGTTAAGTGAGCTCAGATAAGATAAGAACAGCACAGGTAGACCGAGAGGCGGTTAGATAGGTAGATAGGTAGAAAACAAACTGATAAATTATTAAGAAGGTAAATAGGCAGGAGTAGAAGCTAGAAAGATAGGTGGATAGATGCACCTATGCGTGGATGGACAGCCGGATAGACAGATAGAAGACAGATTTGTCGATGAGGCAGAGACGCACGCGCAACGATAGCTTTGACAATGCATCAGCGGCGCAACTATGAAATGGTGAGCCCTCTGTGGACTTCGGCGGGTCGATCTCGAGCAACTCGTGTCGCTTTTTCTTCGCTCGCGGTGGCCCCCGACTGCTGCATCAACTCCGGGTTCGCTCCGAACGCTCTCCGAGCTAGCTCCGAGAGGGCTCTAGAAGGCTTCACTTTTTGACGTCGCTTTTTTCGCGCGCGCGCGCGCGTGCGCTTATTCTTCTCTCGCCTTCTGTCAGAGAGCTAGCTTTCAATCAGTGTCCGTACCACAAATGTTGCTTCTAAACTTCCTTGATGAGCAAGCCAACCAACTAGGACCCAACCAAACGCAAGCAAACCGGAAAATCACTGCACACGGCGGGCAGGGTGTTCCCAAAACGAATACCAAATCCACCTTCCAAGATTGCCCAAGCCAACGCTAAGCTGGCATATACTTCAAAAACATGTTGTCCGCAAATGAACCTTTGGGGAACATTTACATGGGTGTGTGTGTGTGTGCGGGTGTGTCTGTTTTGAAGGGAAACCGAAAGGAAACCAACCATTTTGGGGTGTCCCCAATTCGGAGGCAAACCCACGTCGGAATTTGTGTCCACCAACCATTTTACCCACGCAACGACATCGCTCCGTTGACTCTCTCTTGTCTGTCAGCCTGCTGGGCCTTGTCCCTGCGCAACTGGACCTTGACCTCTTCTGCCTCCAGAGCACAGGTCACCCAATCTGGTGGTGTTAAGGCCTTTCTGGTACCTTGTTTGTATCCCCTTCAAAAGGCCTCACAGCCCCAAAATCTAGACAGTCCGCGCCTGCTTCTCACCAACTGCGCCACCCAACACCTGCCAAGAAAAAGGTGAAAGCCTTGCCTTTCTGCCTTCTAAGAAGCTTTGGAGGAATACCGTGGCGTCTGCTCTGCTCCTTTCTTGAACCAAGACTTGCTCAGGCCTCCTTGCCAGACCGCTTGAGGATCATCACATGGCGTCCCGTACCTAGAGACTTTAGACAAGTTTGCGCCGTGGCCGCGGCCGTGTCAGGTGTGCCGAGCTTCCATGCTGCTCTCCCCAGACGTAAACAGAGGGGTTTCCCAAGAGGTTCGGAACCTCCTGCGTTTCAGTGTACCTTGGAGTACAGTCAGAAGATGGATTCCCGTGGCAGGCTGTAGTGGGACCAAATCTGCCCGTGGATCAGCAATCCTTTCAAAAAAAGGAAAAAAACACTTCTCGGATTTTGGGGCAACCGCGAGAATGGTGTTCACGGGTTCTCAAAACTGGAGGCTTTTCCAGGTGTCCTTTTGGTCCAAAAACGGAATTCAAAGTTTTTTTTGAGACACGCCTCTGTCAAAGCAGCACTGCGCCCTCTCCAAGCTCACGGTCCAGCGCCTTCAGCAGAAACGCCAGCCAGTCCTCGAGTGTCGTCTCGAAACCGTGGCTATGTCTCAAGTCTCGAGATGAGAATTGCCGGCCGCGAGGGTTGGCTCGCGGGAAAGAAGCCGAATGCGACCGCGTTCTTTTCTGAGATCTACTTGACTCGAGTCACGCCCGCGACAGCGAGTGCAGCGTGCCTTCAGCGGGATCTCCCTCCTGCTAGTGAACATGTTGAGCCGCTGCCTTGGCGGATGGATCCGTGAGACATTCCATGCGACAATGTCCAGCAGCACGCGGCCCCCAGCTTCCACTCGGCCCAATTCCCCCTGAAGATTGGGCAACATGTTTTGAAGCAACCAACCCCTCCCCAAAAAACGGCGATGTCTTAACCAGGTGGTGTTTCAACCATGCTTGAACGCATTGAACGCAATGTCGGCCCAATGCTTCCAAGTTGCGCGGAGGTGCCCTCCGACACCTGGACGCATCGATCGATTCAACCGAGATCAGCGCACGGGTTCCTTTGAAAAGTGTCGGAAGGAAGCCGCTATGGATTTGTTCCACTTGCGATCCCCAGCACTGCCCCAGCGGTGGAATGATAAAAGACAAAAAGAAGAAACCAAGCTGGTTTTTCAAGGAGGACAACACAGCAGCAAACAACCTCTCTCTCTCTCTCTTCCACTGGCCTCCACGCGAAAGCCTGGGCCATGCGCGAAGTGATGTATCCTGCGCCAGAAAGCTCAAAGCCTCCAACCAGAATGTGACACCGTCAAACCTTCACCACGCTTTCCCAAAGGCCTCAGTGAGCCACAGACATGAACTGATGGGTCCTGGAGGTGGTTTCAATGCGGCACTCGTTGGCGCCTCAATGTGTGCAGGTGCGCAACTCGCCAAGTTGCGTTGCTTGACCTGGGCTGTAGCTGCTTGCGAATGTTCCAATGAGCGCGGCACCCAAGTTTGGCACGGCTAGGTCCTGTCGGCGCCGAAATGCCCCTGAAACCCGTTTAGCCCAGTCAGCTCAGTTCGCTGACGGTTCGTACCAACCCGTCCCCAACCCCCAATCCTCAGGGTGCCTTCCCCCGAAAACGATCGCAGCCGACCTTCACATTTCCAGCTGCAGCGCACTTTGTTATCTGAACCTGCAGCCTGTCACCGCAACGCGGGAACCAAAACCTCAGACTCAGACGCCGTCCCATCCCGTTCCTTTGCTTGCAAAGCCTTCAACCCATCCTTCGCTTTCTTCATCTCAGCGCATGAAATTTTAGCATCTCTGAACAGCCATGTGGCCTGCGACTCATGATTGATCCTGTAGGCTTGGCGCTCTTCGTCCCATACCGGCTCTGGCACCTCCTGCGAAGATGCTGCCGCCGCTCCGTATGGATCCCGCCGTGGCTGCCTCTTCGGAGCCCCTGGGCTGAGGATTTGCTCCAGCTTGGGCCCAGCTGGGCATCTCGGCGGGGCTCGGAGCCGTGCTGCAGGATCAAAGCCAGACGCTTTATATATGCGTGCACCTGTCCATGCGGTCCATGCACGGTTCCGGTGTCAAGGCGCAAGGGCGTCCACTGGAAGCGGTCGTGTTCCAGGAAAGGAAGCTGCTCGTTCTGCCAGTACCGCATCTTGCTCTGCAACTCAGAACGATGCGCATGTGAAGCAGGAAGCGGTAGCTCAGTAACAAAATCGTCGGGCAGTGCAATTTGTTGTCCACCCTGAGAGTGCGGAGCAGCCTTAGTAGTCAGCTCATGAAAATCGGGCTGCGCTCTTGCAACCACAAAATTCAACGTCGGGCGGCTCATATTCTGTATGTCTGTGTGGGGCAAAACGTTTTGCACAGATACTCTCTGACAGAGCGCCTCGTCTAGCGCTCGGGCTGCACACCACGCAGGAGATTTTGACGGATTCACCTCCTCCTCGAATTCCCGAATAGCGGCGCTGGTCCAGTCTCGGTCAACTCCACGATCTACGCTTCCTCCTGGGATCGCCCAACACCGCTTTTTGGGACAATCGTCATGCTGGAAAACTGTCAGGAGCAGGACCTCATCTTCACTGACGGGATGCAGCAACGCCAGCGCAACATGCCGGGCAAAGAGCATGCCATCATCAGCGTGCCACTGCTTCTGAAGAAGGGCAGCCTCAACGTATCGTCCAATTCGAGCCCTCCCTTTACTATGCTTGTCCCAGGATATCTGAAAGAAAGGCACCAGCCACTGCTTCTCGCGCTGCCCAACTTCCTTGAAGTAGAGCGGCATCAATGTGCCCCATGCAAATCTGTCTTTGTCCGATTTGTCCTGTTCAGACTCTCGGGTCCAACGCTCTTTGGGGATGCGAAGAACCACCATCTTCCCGCCTCTCGAGAAGCTCAACTGCTCCAAGGGCATCAGGACCTCGTCACATTCGTCAGTGCCAACCTCCGCTTGGACAACGTAAACGTTGGGGAAGTACTTCGGGCCCGTGGTGGGTAGCGGCTGAAACTCGCTGCCCTTGAAACGTTGAAGCTCACGGATGTAGCATATCCACGACGCCAGTGTCTCTGCATCCGCTTCTTCAGGCGGGAGTTTCTCCTGCCCAGTCAGCGCATGTCCAAGAGGCAAATGATGCGCAGCACGCAGAAGCCAAATCAAATCCTTGCCGGTATCCTTCAGGAAGTGCTTCACCTCCTCTGCAAAAACAGCAAAGGACATGGCTCGCAGCTTTCCAAAACGGCGCAGTTTCACAGCCGGCTAACAAGGCTTCAGCTACTTTTGGGCAACCGCCCAAGCAAAGTTCTGTCTTCGCCTGCGATGATTCAGAGGGATCACTCCGTCAGCGTCACAACCCAGTGTTAAACGAAACAACAAGCAATTGAATACTGACCAAATAAGCAACGCTTGAGCAACACGGTTGCCAGGGCAATGCAGAATTAAAGTGCTGGTTGTCCAGAATGTCTCGCTCTTGGGCCAAAACCAATTGCGCGTCCCACATACATCGCTCAGGTCGCTTGATGTTGAAAGGCCCTCGTTTGAAAGGCACTTGCCAACACCAATCGGTCGAAGAGCGATTCATGTGACGCGACAGAAGTAACTCGCGGGCCCCAAAACAGGAAGGAAGAAGATCGGTGCGTGCTCCGCAAAGCTATCTATATGCCTCACTCTGTCTTGGGCTTTCTTCTTGACGAGAGCTCTCAGCGATTTTTAAAGCCCTCCAACACACGCTTGTGACACACTTGTACCCAATCAATCAGCGATGAATCAGAAACCAAGTGAAAGGTGCCCACAAGCACATCGAGGCGGTAGCAAAAACAAAGCCCCCTACAACCCCAGCAGCGGGGGGGGCTTGCCGATCCCCCAAGCAAGCAAACTCCAAGGGAGTGTTTCTCAAAATTGGAGACCCCTGGCAGTTGACCCGCCCTTGAACTATCCAAATGGGTCCCCTCCTAGAAATTTGGTCTCCTGTGTCTCGTTGCCCAACAAAGGTTCCCCATTTTGAGACGCGGCGCCGGGTCCTTTTCCTTCTTCTTGGCCTGGGACAGTGCGAAGGAATAAACCAACATCAAAAGGACAATTTGGACGTGTCAAGACCAAGGGGCACGACGTTGAACCCGTTTTCAGCATCGAACCCACAAATCCAACCCTTGGGAGCTACATCTTTGCTTCTGAAGTGCCTTCCTGTGGCCTTCTCCCACGGAAGCACCGATCGACCTCGCCTTCTTCACATTGGCGGCCTCGTCCACGTCCACGCGGCTCACCACGGCGCAGTTCATCAGCTGCTTCGCTGGGTCCTGGACGACCACTGAGCCCCGAACAGAACGTGCCCCCAAAAGGACACACGTGCGTGCGTCCAGCAAGGGAACCTCCAACCGCACGGGGGAAGATGGGGTGGGCCGTCTGAAAATTGGGGGCCGGCCCCCATGTTCTCCCCGAACCAAAGGAATTTAGTCAGTTGCGAAAAGAAACTTTAGGGGAAAAGGCAGTCCTCCACTTAAAGGAGGGTAACCCTTTCTCGGGCGGGAACAAAAATCATCATATGTGGAAAGTGAACAAGGGCATTGCCCAACCCCAAAGAAACACCGTGATTTGGCTGTTGTTTGGCGTTTGCCAGATCTGAGTGTCCCTCGACCAAGCTCATACCTGCATCAGTCCTTGAACCAGTCAATCACCTCGGCGTCAAGCTGAAAATAAAGCATGCGTCTTTGTAACACATCTTGGGGACGGCTTTGCTTTTGACGAATGTCCCATCTCCAACTTTGGGAGGAGTGAAGCTGTCAGCGCTGAGTCCTGCACTCGAGCCAGGGGACTTTCTTCCACTTCTGCTCGGATGATGAAGCCGCGCTGCTTGCCTTCGCCGAAACTCTCAAGTGAATGACCGCACCGGAACCCCACGCGATAGAATGGCCAAAAGAAAGGTTTTGAGCCGAGTGCTGGCTTCCAGTCCCAGGCCTGTCTGCTTCTCTTTGCTGCGCTTGGAGCGACCGCCGGCAGACAGGTCCTGGGAATGGCTTGAAATCAACGGCCAACTGGTTGCGAAGGAGCCCTATCCGTCTTTCTGCTTCCAAAAAACTGATTTGCTTGAGTGTCACTCTCTGAATGCGCCTGGTGGATGCGCCTGTGCATTCAACTGCCGCGATGCGAGTGCTGCTGTTGCAACTGCTAAGCTGGGATGACTGATGTGGTTTCTCCGGAGCACCCAAACACGCTGAAGGCCCAAGATTCATCCCAGAGTGTTCTCCCTGGATCACTGTTCTGGGCACTCAAATCCCCGCTCAAAGCCCCCGGCAAGGTATTTCTAAGATTCAGGCATCGTCGCAAATGGCCTCCTGGTACACCGCTTTCTTGGAGGACACCGCAAGGTACCTCAGTGGCCGCGACGCTCCACGTGATCACCGCCTTTGGCTCAAGGGCCAAGATCAACGACGCGCGGACAGGATACACCAGCTTGGCTAGAGGGCAAATGTGCAGGGTGAACCTGGGACCTCGTATCTGTGTGTGTGTGCGTGCGTCTGGTCGTGTGAAGAGGTCCTTGAGGTCCCCACTCCCACACCCCACCAAACGGAGAAAAAAAAAAGAAAAAAAACTGTATGCCACACTTGCTGAAGTTCCCACCAAACAAAAACACACGCACACACACACACACACAGAGACACACATACATACACACAACGCACAATCCTGGCTCTTCACCGGCTACGTTTCGAGCACCATGCCATGCCTACAGTGCAACCAGCTCCGGCGCACGAGAGCTGCTCGGTGGGCAGGGGCTTGTCCTTCAGCTCACCCAGTCGGTGTGTTTCTCCGAGTAAAAGGGCGTGTCTCAAAACAGAGGACCCAAAATGGTTGGTTTCTCCTTTGCTTTCCTTTTAATGCCAAAAGGGAGTTCCGCCCAAGAAAGACACGCCCGTTTGGAGTTTAGGGTTTGGGGGCTTGCTGTTCCCTTCAAAGACCAACAAGAAGTCAACGCATTTGGAGAACCCTGAGATCTCCCAAGATCCATTGATTTCCAGGATGGACTCTAAACTCGAGGGTCCCTGGCCTTAAATCAAAAAGTAAACCACAGGCCTTTTCAAACCCATGCCGTTCGCCAAAGCGAGCCGAGGCCGCAGCAGACACGACCACGGTGAAGACCTAAAGTCTTCGGCCGCCTTCTGGGCCCGAAGTTTGACAAGTTTCCGGGTACCAAAGCGACTGAGCCGAGAGCTGCTGAATCTCGCTTGATCCAGATCTGCTCACCATCCTTTCGGCTCGCATTCCACTGGAAACTCTGCGCTATATTTGTTCTTCCGCAAAGTCGAAAAAAATCCTCGCCCCCTCCAAGATATTGCCTCCCACGTGGCAACCTTTCGCGATTCAGGGGGGAGTTTTGGGGCACGAGGCGCTGCGTGGCTTTGGGTCACCTTTTTTACCACAGTGGAAAAAGTGTAGCCTCAAAAAAAACTGGGTATGGGTCCAAAATTCAGCCACCAGGATATGGGCCGCAGGTTTTAGTCCTTGGTTCCATTTAACAGGGCAAGTCATTGTGGGGTTCTCCGACTTTTGATTCACAGTTTGGACCGACTGTGCAGCACCTCTCCAATGTACCAGCTCATCTGGGGCCAGTCGCGAGACTGGAGTCTTGAGGGTTGGGTTTTCAAGTTGCAGAAAATTATGCACCCTTCCAGCTTGGGGACCGGTGACTGCGAGATCCTGAAGCTGAGGTTCTGCTGTTCTGCTGGCCGTTGCCTTGCTTGGCATGTGCTGCCTAGGAGCCATAGATGGCAAGATGCACTCCCGCTCTAGCTCACCACGCATCCACATGTCGGAAGCCTCGCCATCTCAGAATCTCATATGGGCATAGTGATGAGCCTGCAGCCGCGTGCTCTTTTTCTTTTTCGCGGGAACTCTCTCCGGTCTCGTGCCGACATTAAGAAAAAATAAAGTGCAGAGCCAAACACTTCAAGCGTGCCATTCTCTGAGAATACCCTCTGTCTATACCTGTTTTAAAAAGACAGGTCTCGCGGTCGAGAAATATCTCTAAACCCGTGTCTTTCAACTCTCTCCTTTATTAGCTGTCCTGTGTGTGTGTCTTCCTGGTCCTGTGTTCAGTGTGCCCATCTCTATACCTCTCTCCCCCTCTCTCTGTTGCTGTGCGCCTATGTTTGTCTCTCCCATCTGTATCCCTTCTCTATTTGTCCCATCTCTATCTCCCTTCTATCCATTCTCTGCTTCCTGCCGCAGGATACAACCTGTGGCCACATGAGTTTTCTCGACTCTGGAGAAGTGCAGCGGCTGACACATCCCGATCTGTGGGGCGTGGGCTGTCAAACGCATATAACTTCCAGCGGAAACCGCACCGAGCACGGCCTCTTGAGGCAGTTAAATCGTTGACAAAGCAAAACGCGCAAAAAAAACGCGGACTCTCGACACTCACGCGTGGCAAAATCTGGAGCTGTTCGGCTCAACCTTGTAACGGCGAGCAGCTCACTTCCCCTGCGCCACGTGGGAGGTCCTCTCTGTTTTGCCCCAAACCTGGGTACGAACACGTACATTTGCGTGGTTCGGTTTGTGTGTCACTGAACTAGCCCAGCTGCACGCATGGCATGCACATGAGAAAGGAGCAGCTCGAAATGTTCGAGAGAATGCCTCTGAGGCTTGGACTGGCTGTCTCTCAACACCGTCCAGCCGTAAAAGCATGCACCTTGAGCTTTGGCAACCGGAGTCGCAAGCTCAAGGTTCGAGAAGCCCCCAAGGCCAGCCCATACGAAACCCTCTAATGGCCCTCTCCACTGAAAAATGAATAAACACACATGTCCTGTCACTTGCCTGTTGCAGTCCTATTGGACAAGCAGAGGGAGAGGGATAGGACTGGAGTGGACCACACCGGTCCGTATTGATTCGCTTGGCCGAGGTAACCGCCAACAACCTCACAACATCGATAGCAAAAGGGGTCGGGGGAAGCGCATGAATCAGGATCAAATCCTCCGCGTCGCTATCTTGGCAGGGACCCTTACAAGTGTCCAAAAACCCGGCAAAAAGTAATGGAGTAAAGGCAAAAGGCATCTAATGATTGGATTGGATTGGACTTCCTTCAGACCCCCAGTGCCCGTCTCGGAGAGTCTCGCCCGAGCGAGCCGCTTCTCCAAGCTCTGCTGCAGCTGCTCGATCTTCTCGGTCTCCGAGAACTTGGCAAACCACACCTGGCGGCTTTGGGCGCGCGGCGCGCGGTGGCGGCCCGCGCGCGCGGCCGGTTGGCCGGTGGATGGCGCTGGCGCTTTTGGCATCCTTTTTTCACATCGGCAAGCAACAAAAAGGCACGCGGACGAGTCTCGCCCGCCTCTATTCGCAGGTGCGAAGCACGCTTGTTGGCCAACTTGTCCACGAGCCGAATGCCGGTGACCATGTCGGAATGCCTCAAGGACGCAAGCCAAGTGGAAACTATCTCTTTGTATCGATCAGGTTATATGACCCTCAGTCTGTATATGTCCCGGAATGAGAACCATCCCTGTAGAGCTTCATGCTGAAAGGTGCTCGGCGGATGGACATCACACACACGGCGTGTCCAACTAGCGATGAGGCTGAGCCGCTGACTCAACAGACCCTCCAATCAGGCACAGGACCGTGTTGTTCCAAATCCTGCACATGGTTCTGAAGGATGTACCACCTGACACCTGCCCTTGTGCTGTTGCACTCGTCAAGCTCGGATCCATTGCCAAATAAGCCCGGCGCTCGTCGATGATTCCTCCACCAACTCCCGCCTCGCAAAGCTGCCAGAAATATGTTTGCGAACGCAAGTCTCGGTGTATGGGTCCATCAAGGTGATCCTCAAAACTCTGTTTGAAGGCTGCTGTCAGCGCCTTCAGCTGGAAGGTAAAGTGACCTCCAGTGGCATTCACCACATCCTGCATCGCAAGAGGCCAAAGCAATACGCCCAGCGGTCTGTGCAGAACACAGGCAGGCAATGGCCTCCCACTCGGGGCGGATGCCATCCTTAAAGAGCATCAGTGCCTAGGCTCACAGATGCACGTGCTTACAATCCCCTTGTAAACTCGCGCAGCCCCAATCCGCTTGATGCAATCTGGCTGATGCATCTAACTCAACATCCCCAGTCATCTGAGATCCCAACATCAACCACATGCCGGGTGTCATCCTGCCACGCGCAAAATCGAATCGCTATGCCAAAAAAGAAAGAAGAAACACGACCCTCTCACAGACCGTCTCCTTGATCCGCAAGAACTTCTTCCCTTCCAGCAGCATGCTGGGCTGTGGCATGTAGTTCCAATACCTGTTACAGGTAGCAATGTCTGAAGCAGTCTTTGGGAGCGCCAAAAGGCCCCGGCGCCCCCCTCTACCACAAATATGCCATACAGATTCAGCCTCCCGAAAAAAGACACCGCATCCCGTGGGGGCCCCCCAGGACTGGCAAGTCAGCGGCCTCCAAAACGTTTTGATGGTGTCCAAAGTCGCCACCCGCTGTGTCGCTTGGGAGTACCTGAGAGGTGTGGATGGTCAAATGTCCGACCTCCAACCTCCTTCCTTAGGGTCATGTTTTTTTTGCTTAGGCTTTGGGCCTGCAGAAATTTTGTCTCTAAGTGCACATGGCACTTTTTTTCGCAAAACCCAAATCGACCTGAACTTGCTCTCAGCCAGAGGGATTCGGATTCGCCCGTGAGGAGCTGGGGAAGCGGTCTTTCTGGGCGCAAGGGAAAAAGGGCACTGCGAGCTGTCCCGCGCAGCGGACAGGCTCAGCTGCTCCTCAGTGGCCAGATCGCAGACGTTGAAACCCGGCGTCCGACGACCCTCGGGCAAAAGACTTGCTTGGAAAAGCCCGGCCCCCGCCTCCTTGGAAGAGAAACCAAAATGAGCCCAACCCTGATGACTGGCCCTGTCCCATGCAAGGTGCTCCAACAAATGATATGCAACATCAGTGACACCTTCCGGCTTCAAGGCTGAAGTCTCAGTGGCCCACCCACAGGACCCACTTGCATTCCAGTGGAGGATCCTGCGTGAGCGGCATCACTTAGAGCAAGTCACAGGCCATTCCTTCCCAAACCCTTTCAACAGAACCCAAATGAGGTTCAACCTCGGAGCAGGGACCACTAATTTCATCCCCTCTCGAACCCATGTGCAAGAACCCATGGGACCCATGGGCCCAACAGGTCACATACCTCCCTGCCTGCTCCGAGGTGTCGGTGTCATTGGACCTTGCGAAGCCCACCCGGAGAAATTCGTGCACCCGGTCGGAAATGTTCACCCCCAAAACCTGGAATACATAAAACCAGAAAAGATGGGTGGTCGGCCATGTGCTGCATCTTCGCGTACCGAGACATTGAGGAAAAGTCCAAAAGCTTCTTTCGGCGGATTTGGAATACTCCCACTATCTCACTATCTCGGATGCAACTATTTTTAGAATTGCGAGCCGCGCTCCCAAAAGCAAAGGCGCCAACCAGACACATCCGAGCCCGGCGCTCCAGGAACGCGTTGATCTGCGGCGAGATGGAGCCATTGAAGCTGAGGAAGGGCCTAAGTGCGGGTCCAAAAACAAAAAAACAGTACGGTGGTTATCCTGTTGGTTTTGTTGAACCTTTGGGTGAAAGGGCACCCCAAAAACTTTCACAAACAAAGATGTTGTGGAACTGTGGAATGTTTGTTGTTCGGGAAGTGTGGGGTTGGCTGTTCTCGCGCAGGGCCAGGATGGCTTGGCTTCCCTGAGGGTGGGTTTGGTTGGTTTATGATCAGTGCAGGGTTGTTGTACGGGTCGGAGTGGGCTTGGGATGGTGTTGGTTTGGTTTTGGGCAGGGTTTCGAGTGAAATAGGGCTTAGTTGGTTGGGAATGGGGGAGAGGGGGGAGGGGAGCAAGTTTGGGAATTGCTTTCAAGGCAGCGGTTGACACAATGGTGTTGGTGTGACATCCGTTTAGCCTTGGTTTAGGGTGAGTGCTCCCAGAACCAAAAGCCCCAGCCCCAGAACTTGCTTTTGGGGGACCCCCCAAGATGGTGCCTTTTCCCGCTCAGCTTTCCGTTAAGACCAAAAATGGGCCACCCTCGACAAAAACACCCATAAGGGCTTGGCACCACCACAGCCTCCTCAACCACGGCCATGCCTCGGGCGGCACGAGCGCTCGCGAAGCATCAGACAGTGGCATGTTTATGTGTTTTTTTCTTTTTTGGGTTTTCTTGTTTTTCGTCGGTTCTCTCGCAGTGCTGGGGATTTTTGGGAAACACCCGCAGCGCAATTAGCGCGGTGGAACCTCAGGCCCTGAGCCCGCCTGCACGCTAAGGCTGGAGATCGTAGCGACGCGCTTGACGCCAGGCAGCAGGGGCGCGCTGGGGAAAAACAAAGTCCAGCCAAAGATCCAGAGGCACTGGTGCTGATGGAACGAAGCCGCCCAGTTTGCAAAAAATTGCAAATGTCTCGATCTCTGTGGCAAAAACGGGCCATCTGTTCTGTGACTTCACATCTGAGACCTCAAAGAAAAGCACCCAGCCCAAGTGGCCGACCTTATCACGCTTTCAGCACACACCTTGTGCTCACGGCGTCAGCAATCTCAGTACTGTGATAAATTCCTATATCTTGAATCCAAGGTTGCAGTCATCCCTGGTAATAACAATTTGCCGCTGACACCGGGGCCATGATTTGAAATGCCGCCATTCAACCAGTTGTTGATTCATCACACGCTGCGTAACCCTTTGTTGCTTGTGCTTGAATCGTTTGAATCAAAATCAATATCACAGCTCAACCCGTCGATCGCGGCACATTCGAAGCCAGGTGCAGAGACTCTTCCGGGAGTAGCTCTCCGCGCTGCAGTGTCTTTTCCGTCAGAGGCATCGAGTCGAACGCTGCTGTCAGCCGTCCACTCAGAAGTGCGAAGCTGGTGTTCGCCAAACCTCTGCACAAATGCTCGACCATCGCCACAGAATCACGTGGAGAGACCACAAGCCACCCGGCCAAGCCTGACCTGCGTCTGCTCTCCGAGGAAGACCTCGCCGCGAAACGAGACTTGAGGCGATGGGCCCCGCTCAAACTGCAAGCGAAGGCTCCCGAACCCCAAGCAAATTTCAAACACCACGGCCAAAACGTTTCAGAGAGCATGTCTTCCCCATCCGGGCCCATCCGGCTCAAATGCTTTGATCTATTGAGACACTGTGCCAATTCTCCCTGAAGAGTGTGCTCACTGATTGACCAAATCTTAGAGACCCCTGACACTAGCACCCAGCCTGCGTGCGGCAAGGGATCCGTTACGTACTTCCTTGCGGCCTGTCAGAGTCACAAGGAAGCATCGAGCTCATGGCTGCACCATCTGACATCCCGCAAAAGCGGCACAAACGATTGCCGACCAGCAAATGCAATATCAAACTGCTAGACATCACTGCGCCGGTCAGGGCCGCAGTTCCACAAATAAAAAGTGCGAGCAGAACTGCAGTTGCGGCTTGTCAGCCCAGTCTTCTTCCCGCTCCAGAAGGCTTGTTGGAACTTACCCCTCTCCCTGGCATCTGCCACAATTCAAATGGGGGCAATGGTGTGCCTCTGTCCGTTGCACGTGTCAGCCGAAACACTGAAGCAACCCCAGCCTCATGTCGGCCCTCGCACCTTCCGGTACCTAGCAGAGGACTCTCAAAAAGGCGACTCGCGCCGCAGAGCGGCCACGCATGGAAGGCCTGCGCCAAGTCTTTCAGGCACCTCCTCAACTGCTCGGTGGACTCCTCGGCCACGCGTGAGGTCGTCGGCGAGCGGATTTTTCAGGTGTTAAGAACCTATAAAAGGGAAAAACCGCAGGGCTCGGGGGAAGATCCGGGGAAGATCTTTTTTGGGCAAGCGATCCGCGGAGTGAACGCACGGCGAGGCTCTCTTCATCGTCCAAGGAGCTTTCAAGCTCCCGAAGGAGCCCAGGCTCCCCAGGGAACTGTCCAGCTCAGTCGCCTCCGAGCGGAAAGAAAAAAAAGGCCCACGAATGGCCACACTTGCGAACCAAGCATGCGATAACTGGGCTGTCCTCAGATCCCCCGCTAAAAGTTTAACTTTTAGTGGGTTAAATGGAAATCCCCACTAAACACTACAAGCCTAAAAAGCCCAGGGGATGGCTGAGAACCACCAAGACAAGTATATGTCGTATTTGGATTTGTGCCAACATACTAGAGGCAACCCCAGCAATCTGCGCGCGAGCGTGCGCAGCTTGCTCTGTTTCTGCTGAGGCTAAAGTGCAAAGCCCTCGTCTCACCGGCCTTGTCGTATCCTGTGGAGCCCGGCTGAGGCGACTCCTGCGAGAAACATCTCAAGCGATGCTCTTCCGCCCCTGGTGTGTCCATCCGTAGTCCACTACATGATGCAAAAATGGTGTGCTCTCTTTCAATATGTTGTCTAATACTCTGATGCATTGCTATGAGTCAACACGTCCAGATAGCTCGAGAGAGCTGAGGTCTGGTTGAACACAGCCAACCAGACTAGCGATTGGACTCCTAGCTCGAAATGTATCTGAGCTGCGAAGCCTGCACGTCGAGTCGGCTGACCTGGGATCAGCCCTCTCCCTGCTTGGGGATCAGCCCTATTTGTGCCTACCCTTCCAAGGAATCAAAATAAAAGGCCCTCTCAAGTCCCCAAAACCCTCGAGACGGGATATCGAGCTGCAACTCCCCAGAGTCCAAAGAGATGCTCGAACAGGAAAGCCTTCCAAATGGCTATGCTTCCCCGAAAGGGTACCCTGAAAACCGACACCGCAACTCCTGTTTTCATCCTCTCAGAAAAAGCAAAGAAGCTCTTCGGGGGGGTTCTCCAAATCACTCCGTCCCAAGAATCCCGCCTGCACCTCCGGCAGCTTCAGCATCTCTGCCCTGCGGAGAACATTTGCGAAGTCACAAGTGACGACTGTCATAAAAATCCCAACACCTCATCAAAGAAGGAAACTTACCCTCCAACTCGGTCTGAATGTAGAACTCCAGTCAAGCGGTGGAAATGTTCGAGAGATATGCCAGTCGAAAAAGGTATTCGGCCAAATGAACTCTGGAAAGGCCGTATCACTTACAGCATGAAGTTTGCACCAACAGAGTTACATTTTGGCAAAGGTGGGCGCGCGCGTCTAGAAGCAGAACAGCTGCCACAAGGCCCTCGCAATGGAAAACACAGCAGACCGCTCGAGCATCTCAATGAAAAACTTGCTATCCACCCTTTGCCCATCCCACACCTCACTTCGGCACAGCGCATGGCAGCCTGACTGACAACACTTGCGGAAGGCGAGACACTGAGCGCTCACCACAGAAAGATCCCCATGGCAAAACCAGTGCCTCATGCAACCTGACATCTGCTCATGTATTTGTGTGTCTGTGAGAGCGAACTGTCTGTATGCACGCTGACACTCGCCCAATATGGCATCTAGCCATCTTGAAATGGATCGTGAGACTGAAAACAACCATACTCTATGTGATTGGATGTGCGAAACATATGTGAGTGTCAAACAAACAGTACCCTGGCAGGGAAAAACCGTCCCTGTCTTTGCTGCCCTTTGTCAAATTCTTTAGATTGTTCTGGTTGTCATTCGCTTCCACCACGTTTTCGACATTCCCCCCAAAGCTCCCGCCCCTGGTAGGTCCGAGCCCCTTCAAAGCCCCGCCATTGAAACCTCCGAAGCCCGGATCCCGAAAACGGCGGCGCAAAAGGGATAACAAATCAATGGGGAATTTGGGGAATGCATGCGAACCGCCAAAGAAAAACCTCGCGGCACGAGGTGCCTCGCTCCGCAGCTCCGCGGCCAAAACCCGCAGCCGTTCCTGGCGAGGCGCTTGCTGTTTCGGTTCTTCCCAAAGTGAGCGGCTCATATGGGGCAAGAGTCCCAGTTCTTGGCTTGAAATGCGGGGCTTGCAGTTGGTGTCCCTATTCAAACAACCCAAAAAGGCGACCGGCTTTCCAACAGTGGATAGAAGTGGACGATCACAGGATTTTGGAACACCGTCGTCCTGAAAAGTCCCTTTCATGATTATGGGGGGAAACAAAGGTAAATGGGCGTTCACTGAAAGACCTGAATAATTGTTGGCTTGCCTTGTGATGTCGCTTTAAAGATACATCTAATAGGAGGTCCCCAATCTTGGCAAACACTAACAGGGGCATGTCTCAGAATCAGGAACCCCTTCTATGATGGAAACAGGAAACAAACACCAAGCCAACCGCCATGGTTGGAGATTAGTTGTGAGACACACCCAAACGGCCAGCTTCCAAGAGAGCCCTGGCGTGCGTGCGTGCGTGCGTGCGTGCGTGCGTGCGTGCGTGGGTGGGTGGGTGGGTGGGTGGGTGGGCGGGTGGGTGGGTGGGTGGGTGCGTGGGTGTGTGTGTGTGTGTGTGTTCTTCTGATGTTGTTGCGGTTCGTCCGAATGTCTGGCGAAAGTTGGAATCGGGAAGCCAATTTCTTGGTCGACAAAACAGCTGGTCTTGGCAATTCAGCTTCAGCCACTGTTGGAACTGCGCATTTCGCTCGGCAAAGCTGTCCCCTCCCTCCACCAATGATGGTTTAACTAGCATGTGACCCCCAGGAAAAACGAAAAACCGGTAACGCAAAAAGCCCAAAAAGAAAAAGGCCCCCTCTCCCGTTGACCGTGAACAGACAAATAAACTCGAGCCTCAACTCCTTGCTGCAAATCCGCCATCTGAGCTTCAAGCTTCTCCACCTGCGCTCGACTCCGAAGGTCATGCCATGCAAGAAAACGTCATTGGGCCCTAAAGGTGAGAAATCTGGTGACAAAGCCTGCAAAAGTGAAAAATTCTGATGAACAAGCCTGCTAAAAGTGACAAATCTGGTGAACAAAGGCCCACGCTAAGGTCGCCAGGTCGTGTTATTAGAAATCGACATCCCCAGAGCCCATTTCCCGGTGCCTCCGCCCGCTGCGCAGCGGCCAGCTCTTCCACGGCCACCCGCGCCCGCAGGCCTGCCGTGTCGCGGGTCTGCTCCATGCCAACGTCTTCCAGGCGTCTCACCTGACGCCCCGAGTCGAAGGAGCATATCGCTTTGACTCGAAAGCGAGAGAGGGCGAGAGAGCAGGAAAAGGGAGCAGGACTTTTTGTTAGAGAAAAGTTGAAGAGAAAGAAAAGTAGGAGAAAAAGACATAATAAAGCAGGATGAAAGAGAAACACCACGAGAAAAGAAAGGAAGAGAAGAGACAAAAACAATGAATGAATGAATGAATGAATGAAAAAACAGAAAGAAATGAAGTAAGAATGAATGAAAGAACGAAAGAACGAAAGAACGAAAGAATGGAAGAACGAAAGAAGAGAGGAAAGCAAGAAAGCAAGAGAGAAACAATGCAAGAAAGCAAGAAAGCAAGAAAATCAAGAAAGCAAGAAAGCGAGAAGGAAGGAAAGAAAGAGAGAAAGAGAGAAAGAGAAGAAGAGTCAACAACACAAATGTAGATATATACTGTACATCTGGAAGAGGGACTTCGATCTACAATCAGTGATTGGATGTGCTTCGCCCAATGTCTCACCACTCCTTGACGCGTGTCGCCCTGTCTTCCCCGCCCCACCAATTCCCTTCATGTCCTCCAGTCAATAGGCCTCATTCGTCAAGGTGTGGATCTGGCCCTGGTCCGAAACGGTCAGCCGGCAAGGCCCTTCCCTAGAATGAGTTCAGGGACTGCGCTTGGTTCGGGTAAGTGCGGGGTGAGCGTAGGGTGCTATCAGTGCAGCAAAAGCTGTCAAACAAGGCAAGCCATAACAAAGCCCGAAGTAGGGGAACAAGACCTGAACAATCCCGGGATCCAAAGTATAAACGTTATGTCGCCCTTTGAGCACACCTTGAAAGAGAATAAGCGCGCTTACGGTCGGGACCACTAAATTCCCCCCGCGTACTGGAAACACTGCGGCGCCTTGACTCCATGACCCGCAAATGGAGTACGTGAGCCACAGAAGTACAAGCTCAGACATGGAGCGGCTCAACACCTTCACCAGATTTGGGTTTCTCGGTCGCTTGCCCAACGACTGTTGCGTACCCCGAAAAGGAGGCGTGGATTCCTGAAGGGCAGTGCCCAGTCCTCAAGCCCTAAACCTTCCCTTCGGACCGGCTGGTTCCTCAAAGCTGCGTCAAGAATCACATGCGCAGTTTTGCCACACCTATTTGCAAGGGTGTCTGCTAAATCCGGGTTTCGATCGTGCAAACAGAAGCCCAATTACACCCAAGGGCCAAAATTCTGGCTCAAGCCTTTCAGGGTCAAAACTCGGCCGATCTCTGGGAGTTGGATAACTATGGCCACATCTACCAAACGTCCAGAAGTATTCACAGCAGGTGGAAGAAGATGTTACAATTCCACCTTTGGCTTCATCAGTTTCCTGACTTTCACCCTGGTGTTCGTGAGTCACAGCCTTCCCTACAATTGGTGGCTTGGTTTGATGCGGTGCTTAGGCCTGGGTTTCCCATTTCCCAATCCAAACCATCCAAACCACCAATTGAGAGGTACCCTCCTGTCCACTAACATTGAAACCCACTAGTCCCGTTAGGACAATGGTCTTCCAGCACCCCTCCTGGTAGGTTCCATGATAGTGGACCAAAGGCTACTCTGAAATCGTTCTGGGCCAAAATTAAACCACCAGGATATGGACAAAAGTGTTTCCATGTTTCCATTTACCAGGGGCCATTTCGGAGACCCATTTCTTGCAGGTGCGATAGGCAGGGAATGAGAAACGGCTCATGACCCCGAAATAACCCATGGTGGTTTCCTTGGGGAAAGCCTACCCCTGGGTTCATTCCATTTCACATTGGGCATTTGTGACCCGCACAAGGACCATCTCCGCATCGATTCGATTCGAGTCTTCGAGTCGTGCCTGAAGGCCACGGCCCGGCGCGCACAGCACCTCCAGGGCATCCAGGCGCCGGCTCAGGGCGTCGATGTCCTCTCCGAAAGGGGGGAGGGGGGGTGTTGCTCACTGGCCGAACCCCCCCCCCCCAACGGACACCACGGACACTTGTGGATGTGTGTGTGTGTGTGTCTTTTTTAGGGGACTCCCCAAAAATGGTGGGTTTTCCTTGTGGTTTTCCTTGGGCTTTCCTTGTGGTTTTCCTTGTGGTTTCCAAAAGAAAGGGGCAATTCAAGCGGGTGTGGAGCGGCGGGCTTCCGAGAAACCAAGAAAGGCCGAAGGCTGCTCTGCAACCTCTGTCAGAAAAACCAGCGGCTCCTCCCGCACCCGCCAATCCAGGCCCGGATCAGAGGCCTGCAATGGCGAGATTCTTCGCATGTGACTTCCGCTCGCGGGCAAGCTAAGAGCCCATCGAAAACACATCGCTCAAGAAAACTGACAAGCTGTGTGAGACTGCCTTTGCAGTTTGCAGCATACAATAATACTAGGCGTGCTGTGAAATCTTCACATCCAGAAAAGGGGGGCTCCTCTTCCAATGTTTGGGGCAATTTGCCCACATGAAACGCGCACAACCCATGGCCTGAATTGCATCCATGCCTTCCAAGCTGGGCATGCTGATTGTGTCAACACCGTATTTTGTTTTTTTGTTGACTGTGGCATAGGCCCATAGCAAGCTCCAGTCTCAAAGCGTATGAGCACGTGTTATTGCTACGCTCATATGTTTGAGGTGCAAAGAAAAAAGCTGCGGGCCCACACGAACTCAAACGGTTTACTCTACGAGGAAAGCAACGTGAAAGGGGTTATTGTTTTTTGACACGTGAGCATTTTTGGGAAGACAATCCAATGTCTGTCTAAAATGCCTCTGCTTCGGTCTGGTTGGCAAGGAAATGGAAAATTCACTTGCGGTTTGCCCCAGCTCCAAACCGAGAAACAGAAAGCCGGCGGGGCAGAATCGGAAAAAAAAATACAAGCAGCAGCTTGAGCTACAAACGCAGACTGCCGCCTGTCAAGATGTAGGCATGGCACCACAGACGCTGAATAGCACGCCCAGAACAATAGGTAGAAATCCAGAAAGCTACAATAAAACAAAACTCCGACCTGTTGGCAGGGAGGGACTTTTGTTCTCATGTTGGTTGATTTCCCCTGCGTGCTCTCCACCTTCCACCTGAATGCTTCACTCGATGATGGACAACCAATGGTCGCTGCGATGCGCCAACAAACTGCATTCCCTCCATTCGGTAGTCTTAGCACCATCACCATCGCCACCACCTCTCTCGACAAACGCTTGTTTGCTATGTTTGCTATCTTGGCTTTCAATCGCAAAACCAGTGAATGCCCTTGCGGCAGACCTAGCGGCACTTAATCAAAATCACAGAAACGTCCCTGCACCTCAAACAATTTACAGCACGCAACTTCCTCTGTACAGCATAACTCTCTGCCTGATTTTTGCACAACACATGCGTTAGACGCGGCTTGATGCAACCCCACGCGGCACCACATGATATTTAAACGCTGGGAATTTCGACATGGGAACCACTCTGTTGCAGTTTGCGGCTTCCCTCGTCCATGTCAAATTCCCACTCATGAAACACGAGCATGCGCCAACACCATCCAACGTGATCTCAAACGGCTTAACGACCTTGTCGGCCTCCCAATTTGCCCACACAACATTGTACAACAGTAGGTGGTAGCGGAAATACATATCTTTATATTTGCACAATGGATACACACTGGTCTGTAAAGTGGCCGCACACCACGCAGCTCCTTAGTGTTTGGAGGTAGTAGAAATTCCCTGTGATTGCAAACGTTGCAGGCGTTTGCACATCAGCCGTGGCTACAAACATTGTGCATGATGTCTGAAGTGAGCCAGCTGGAAAATTGGGTGGTCTGCTAGTCTTGTGGTGGTCGCTTCAAGTCAGACTAAGGCAACTTTCGTTCGGTGCTCACATGGACTTATCCTCAGGCCTCAGAATGGCTCTCCAAAAAAGTAACAGTGCTCAAACGGGCTGCGCCATCCACAGCACTCGTGACTCCTCACTGAGCTTCAAGCAGGCACGGCGCACCACTTTTCCCCGAGGCGCCCAAAAACCCCGCGGCCTCTCAAGACGAAGAATTCCTCAGCCCGAACAAGGAGCAGGCCGCAGAGATGACCCTCTCGGCAGCCCTCTTGTCGGCCCCTCCCTCTGCGCATGCACCTGAAGTCGGCGAAAGGGCGCTTCCATGTTGTTTGGAATGGTTGGCGTCAAAGGAGAACGGACCTACAAAGCTAAAAACGTGACGCCGCCTCGGTAATCAAGGATCAAAGGGCCCCCCTTTTTGTGTTCATGTCGCGCTTCAAAGCCACAACTTCAAACCAACCAGCAACGAAAAGCTAAAAAAGTAAAATGACCAGAGATGCCAGGCACCTTCCAGAATCCCAATGGACTGGTCAATCAGCTCATCAAAGCCCTCCATCCCCTTTTCTGCTGCATACTTGGCTGCCATCCTCGCCAAATGTGGCTCCGCCCGCACCTCCAAAAGCGCCGACGAGTCGAGGGCTTTCGCGCGCCAGGTGTCGCGGATGAACCGCATTGAAGCCAGCAGGCGGCACTGGGGGCTCTCGCCTAGGAGTTGAAGTGCACAGGCACCAGCGCCTTCAAAGAATCCACCTTCATGTTGGTTGCTTCAACCTAAATAAGGGGATCACAAACCTCACTTGCGACCACCTTGATGTGAGCTTTTGGGACCGAAAACCCCAAAAGTGTATAAGCTGTATCACATCAGTTGGCTAACGAACATGCGTTCCCACTGGTTGCCCCAAAAGAGGGAGACCCCTCACATAAATCCGAACGGCCCCAAATGGATTGTCAAACCATTGATCCACCCGGTCAAGTTCTCCCTTCGACAAAAATAGCGGACCTAACAAGGAGACCTTCCTGGCAGCTGCTCCCAGTTGGAAGCTTTCCCATCGGCGAGTCACAGGGCTGGTCTGCTGCCAGCTGCAGCAAAGGGATGTGGAGCGACACCAGCGGAGCCTTGCCACCACGGATCTTCGGCAAAGCCTCGTTCCAGAGCTTCAGGAGCCTCATCGTGAGAAACCTCACGCGGTGCATCGAAATCTCAGTGGCCCAAACTTGCTTGGCGGCGCTTCACTGAAGCGAAGGAACCACCAGCTACATATATTTAGAGTCTATACGTCTATACATAAAAACAGTCAGAACAAACGCAAACCCTCCAAGTAAACCCAAAAGCAAAGTCTGCCAACTTAGGTTAGACACCCTTCCGGATGATGCTCTGAGAGCTGTTGGAGCTTGGGCGCCAGATCGCTGTGGAGTATGGGCTGCCAGACTTGCCGCTGCGGATCCCACTGGACCTCCCTATCCTCAAGGGTGACAAGGGGCTAGGAGAGTTCAATCTCATTTTAAGGCCTTACTATGGGGTTCCAAGCGGGTCTTGGGGGGTGTGGAAGTTCCGGATCTCAAAGGTTCTACACTTCAAAAGACCACCTGCCACGTTTGGATCACACAAATGTAGGACATTCCTGTCACTAGGGGCATGCAGACATGTTCGGTGACCTCCGACATCTCTGGTTAGGGTTCAGGAACATTCCCCATCTCGGCTTGTGCCCAGAAGTGACCCTGTCAAAAGGGCAAGTGGCATCAATGTGGGGTCACCAAAAAACAAAGCTGGTCAGGTACAATTCCACAGGTTTGGAAAACACGCCAGCGTTACATTCAATAAACAGGTTCCCTTGCCTTTCCTTGTCACCCGGCAGCGTGGTATAAGGCACCAAGTCAAAGTCCTTGTCGCGGTAGTAGCCGCGGATCCCCACTGCAAAGTCCTCTTTTGGGTGCCAAGTAAAGGGCGGCGAACAAGAGGCCCCTTTTTCGGTGGTGCATTTGAAACGGAATCCCCAAAGGACACCACTGGCCCATTTTGGGGGGGGATTTGCAAAAAGGCGCTTCCTCAAAATGGGATCCAGAGACCACCCAGGCCGAAGGCGCCCGCTCCTTTCGCACAATGGTGGCGCGATCCAAGCGTAAGTGCTTTCCTGGTCCAGCCCTCAAGTCGCACACCACTTCATAAAGGAGCTGGACCATGTGCTCGTCCCCGTCCTGCCGCAAAGGGACAAAACAAGCGACCCCCAAACAAGAAAGAGGTGTCACCCCGTGTTCAATGAAAAAAAGGCTGTAGCTCAGCACCTCCAAAGAACTCACTTATGTTGCAAGTGACTGGAGACATGGGGTCACATAAGAAGTGGGTTCTGTAGAGGTGCTGGATGTTGCTTGCGTGCGTGCGTGCGTGCGTGCGTGCGTGCGTGCGTGCGTGCGTACACATGCGTGCGTGCGTGCGTGCGTGCGCGCGTGCGTGCGTGCTTGCTTGCTTGCTTGCGTGCGTAAGTGCGTGCGTGCCTGCTTGCTTGCTTGCTTGCCTGCTTGCTTAATTGCTTGCTTGCTGCTTGTTTTGCGTTTTACGACGTTCTCTGCTTGTCCCTGTCCTTGATCTTCAGGAAGATGTCGTGGTCTGAGCTGGATGTGTCCAGACCCATACCAACGCTTCCTGTAGGGCAAAGGTCACGTCAGAAGCCCAGTCAAACATACTCTTTTTGGGGCAAATCGCCATGGCCCTGGTAATTACCCATGCACAAAGGTCCCAACCGGCAGGCTCCAAGCAATCGGCCTGCTCCCCCAGCGTGGCTTCATGCAAAGGGACCCGGCAAGAACGCCGCAAACCGAAACACTCCAGGCAACAAGAGCTGGAAGCTTCTGGCCGCCACAACACATCCACCTGCTACCTGTTTCATCAACTTGTGTTCAGGTGGTTCCCTATAACTTCCATCAGTTCAACCCTCAAACAAGACGACGATCGGTTTTCATGCAGCGCATTCCCCGTCCTCCACGAGACACCATCGGGAGCCGCCCGCGCAGGCGTTCATGACGCCACAGAAGCCCAGTGATGCCCCTAGCGAAGCTCCGTGAGAAAGGCTCGGGGGTTCGCATAAATCTTGCGATCGATGCGAGAGAGGCAGGGAACAGAAATGGAATGACCCCTATAAACCATCCCTTGTGGTTTCCTTTGAGGGGAATTCCGAGCTTCATTCCCTCATTTCCTGCTGCACCAGCAAGTAATAGGGAATGTTTGTTGGGGGAGGAAAACCTTGAAAACAAGCCAAGAGTGCCGAGTGCCTGCGAAGGGCATGGCTGCGCCCTTGGCCCCGGGTCAAAGAGTGCGCCACCAGGAACCCGCTCAGAATCTCCTGCAAGGGTTACAGAACATTACTGGTGCCCTGGCTTTGCCATTGCCCTGGCAGCCAAAATTGATGTTTTTGCTAGCGGGCTCAACGACGTGCACTTTCTTCCCTGCAACCCTGCATAGCACGCCCGCACCACTGCAGCGCCCTGGCACTGCGCGCACGCCTGACCATGACAACTGCACCCGCTTCGTTATAACACGCCTGACCATGGTATGTGCTTCGTTACAACACTGCGCGCACGCCTGACCATGGTAAGCACACCCACCTGACTGCTTGGTTAAAACACTGCGCGCACGCCTGACCATGGTAAGCGCACCCACCCGACTGCTGCGTTCTCACACTGCGCGCGCGCCTGACCATGGTAAGCACACCCGCCCAACTGCTGCGTTGTAACACTGCGCGCACGCCTGACGATGGTACCCACACCCGCTCTGCTGTGTTATAACACTGCGCGCACGCTTGACCATGGTAAGCGCACCCGCTCGACTGCTTCGTTATAGCACGCCCCACCAAAAATGTGTTTCACGGACGCGAAAAGGTCGTCTGCCACATTGGCGCGATAGACGTGGCGCTGTGTCTTGCGCCAGCGAGATGTGGAGCAGCGAACTGTCGTAGCCATCGCACAGATGTGAACAAGGAGAAGGCAGAGCATGGGTGATGGCCTCAGCGAAACGCAAAATGCCTCTAAAACTGAGCCCTCTTTTTGGGAGGTTTTTGGGGGACTCAATGTGCGTTTCGCTGAGGTGAAACGCAAGTTTCCTCAAAAAACGGCAAAACGCGAGCGCGGATTTCGGTCCGCCGGGATGTTTTTGCCCCCCCCAGTGGTTTCTGCAAAGAATTCCAAAAAAGCTCACTCTCGGACAATTCTCGGGCATGCGCACGGCAGCTGCGGTGCGGCATGCTGTTCGGTCTCTGCCTACCTACAAATCGGCCGGCTCAGGTCATTGACGACTTTCACCAACCGACGAGATGTAAAGCTCCTAAGGGCTTCATGAGCATTTCGTAGCTCATTGGCCGTCACCAAAAGCGCAGTGCCTGTGAGCGGAAATGAAACCTTGCATGCTCCCAGGCTAATTCCCTTGACCACGCTAATGGGAACCAAAAAGTGCGCAAGGCAGGTCTGCAGCGCGCCTTTCAAAAAGCTGATGTGCCCTGCCACAATGCTTGACACGTGTGACACTTGTGGCGCTTCGCTTTTGAGCCCATCGCGTTCCGTTGTGGTCAGCAATGGGATGTGGGAGTTCAGCGACTTGATTGGCATGCAAAAGAAAGACAAGCTCAAGCCACGAAACTTCAAGGCAGGCAACCCCATCACGCAAATGACGCTGCTTGCTGCCATGCCAGAAACTTGCATAGAAAAGGTGTGCGCCACAACTTCAGAGCCAGTGTGGTATCCAGCTGCACTGCCCAGTCATCTGGAAGCTGACTGATCCAAGGTTCCTGCTGACTAATCCGAAGGGCAACGTCTGGCATCTCATCATCTGTATTGTCTGCATCCACCCAGTCAACTTGCCGCAAGATTTGATTTGCTTCTGCAATACCCAGCTGCAGTCGACGTATGAGGTCCACATCTTGCAATGTCTGCTCCTCGTGTGCTTTGCACAACGCCCAAAGCTGCCAGAACCCTGCGGTGTGCCTTTGGCGACCGATTGCGGCTGCTGCATCTGCCTGTGCATTCCAGTACGCAACCCAGTTATCCACTTCTGCCCGTTCCTCTGAAATCTGCTGGTGCGCCGAGATATGTACTACCTTAAAGCGTCCAGCACAAACTATGAGGTGGTCCCGTACCTCTAGCCAGCTCTCTGTGGTGAGGCTGCCAGTCTCCAAAAATGGGTGGCTACATAGGACGAGTCCGGCCCTAGCACTGTCCGGTGAGTTCGCGGTACACTCCACGCCAACGCCTGAACTGCGGCTGTAAGCTCCGCCCTTGCAATGCACGGCTCCCAACCTCCAAGCGGCCCGGCTGCTAAGTGGGGCTGGTGCAACTGCCATCCGGAAAAAGATCGACTGTGTCATGACACTCCGGCAGGGTCTCAATGCGCAAAAAGCCCGCCGCACTTCCCCAGCCCACGGGTTCCTGGGTGCCAAGAGATGATGCGTCAGGCATGTGGGAAGACTCTGCCACCGCTGCGCCGCCTCTCCATGATGCTGACGTACTTGCTGAAACCCTGGACAATGGAGGCATCTGTGCTCCAGGGAGTCCTGCTGGCCGCAGATATGACAACTGCCATCCTGTTGTACATCATAGTGCTTGTAGTGCCTGGCTGTCACAAAAGCCCCTTCCTGTAAGGCCGCAATCTGCGCACGTTGTAAGGGTAGTAGTCGTCCCTCTTGATGCAGGGAAGCTGGTACGTTGACGCAGATGGCCGTGCTTGCGTTCGTCCGGCTACATGCTGATACCAAGCGTCCAGAGTGCGGATGTGGATTCGTCAATGAAATCAAATTGCAGACCATCGTGATCAAGACAATACGGCGGTTGTATCACATACCATCTCAGCTGCTGAAACTGTTGCACAAGTATTGAGCAAGGTCCGGCATGCAATGTACCGTCAAAGGCCTCATGAAACTGATTCCAAAATTGCATCAACATTGGCTGCTTGCTGGCCAGACGCCGGAAATCTCTGAAAACGCTCCACAATCTGTATAAGCCAGGGTCGAGCATCGGTTGATGTCCCATGCTCAGTCGAATGATCGGGCTTGCGGAGTGCGGAGTTTGCTCAGCTGGGTTTCCGTGACATGCAGGATACCCGACGCGTGAAATGCTTTGGGCCAGATGGCCTGCTTGACCAGGAGCTCCTTCTGGGCTTCGCTGCACGCAATCCTGCGCAATGTAGTGCACAATGGTTGAAGCTTTTCCAGCATCCCGTCCATTGCCTATGGGCTAGGCTTGGCCTGATATCGGATGTCCGTGACAAAGCCCTGGAGCGGGGATTTGGTGCACATGGCACGCTCGATTGCAGCTTGTGTAAGTTGCCAAACTTCACCAGCCTCCTTCTTGGGCATGAACCCAATGATGGAGCTATGCAAAACTTGCGCAAGCTGACTCAGGATCTGCCCGGCTCTCAATGAACTCCACGCTCTGTATACCATGCTGCGCATGATGACAGAATCGAATCCGTCTGGTCCTCGCGCTGATCGAGAATTGAACTTGGATACGGCGTGCTCCCATGCAGAAAGATCAATGGACGGCAGTTGAATCGTAGCAGGCGCTATGTAGGCCCTGATGAAACCCACAATGCGCTCCCAGGCTTCTGGGGGCGTGTCTGCATGTTGCCTCCATCGTGCCGTCCAGTACTGGAGAAGTTCATCATGTATGTTGCTGACCTCCGACCTTCTACGATCTGACCCGGAACCAAGAGAAGGTCCGCGTCAATCTCCAGCAGCTGTGTGTCGCGAGATTTGACTTGGGCAGGAATTCCGTCAACTGTCCATGTGGTGAGTCCTCTGTCGGAAATCGGCCTGTCGACATGTGCTAGGCAGCCATCTGAGGAGACGTCGACTATGGTCGTTGTGGCGGTGGATTGAAGGGTGTCAATGCCAGGACGCGTCTTGTCTTGAAGCTGTTTGAACAGTCGTCTTTTGTCCTCCGCAAGCAAGGCTTGTAGTCGCCGATGCCGTTGTCGATTGTGCCAGGCCTCATATTGACGAAAATTGGACGTGAAGTCGCGAGGAATGTGGACAACTGCTTGATGTGGTGGAAGAACCAATGCGATTTCGGTGGGAGAGCTCTGCAACTTGACTGGGCGCCCAGGCCACCACATCACAAAGTCCTTCTGAAAGCCCTTGGCTCGTCGTATAGCGCCCCAGACTTCGACGCGATACAGCAGTGAATTGTCACTTGGTTGATCCTGTCGCAGATTGCGCTCAAGGCTTTGTAGACGTCGTAGCTGCGTAAACCAGCGTACTATCTCCCTGCACGTGAACTCATTCATAACCCAGCTTCTCCCTTACGACTGGGCTTGGCCAAGGGGGATTGGACTGCTCGAAGCTCAGGATGTTGCCATGCGCACGTCCCTTGCAGCCTGTTGGCAATGACGTCATGGTGCTGTCCAGGAAAGGCCCAATGGACTGTTCATAACGTCGCCCAAAACTGGCGTACTCAATTCTCCCGAATCTGGCACATGGTGCTTCCAGGTCACTGTATCGAGATGGTCCCATGGAATACGCGCAGCTGGTACAGGCGCTCAGGTTTGCACCTGCGATTCCCCGGATGCGTCCCTGCACATACTCCCCGTGAGGCCATGGGTGTGGTATAGGACGCCCTGCATTTGTTGAAATCTGCGCAACCACTCCAGCATCCAACTGTCGGCGAATTGCTGCGTAGCGGCACCGGATGTCCTGCATAAACTCTCCAGTCCTGCGGGCTTTGCCGGTTGTGGTAGCGAATCTGCTTGACAAAGGCAGGCATTGCAACTGAAGAAAGATGAGTCTCATTGGCCAGTCTCAAAGATGAGTTGTTCCCGCCCTTGTGCGCCTCCCGGATTGTAGGTGCCAATGCGAAGAGTAGTGGAAGGCCCCGCGTGTCGAGCTTCCCCCAATCGTTGTACTGGTATCCACGCACAGTGACCATGAGATCTGATCTCACCCGACCCAATCATGCAGCAAGCTGCACCGACAAACCAAAGAAAGAAGAGCCAGGCAAGGTGAGGCAGACCTCCAATGCCACCTGTCAAAACAGTGCATCTTCCAAAGTGCTGGCGCACCCCTGCCCAATGAGGGGGAATCCACCTCCATTCAAATGACGTAGTAGAAAGATCATCCCAATGACAAGAATGATCAAAAGCATGTGGATGAGCAAGCTTTGCTGGCTCATGAAGATATTGGCAAATTGGATGAGCTGTGCACCCAACTGAGCTTGAAATGTGAATTCATCTGTGCCGATGCCCTGGCGATCTAAGGCTGGGAAAAGATTTGAAGCAAGTGGGGCAAAAATCCCGAACCGCGCAAACCCCATGTTCGGTCCACTGAGATTCATCTGCTGTTTGCTTCCAAAGCTGCGGACCATGGCTTGAAGATGCCACGGGTGTCATAGCTCAGCTCCATTGGCGCGCTGAGCCACCACCCACGGAGTCACTCCGTTCTGGACTTCTTGGACAGAAGGGCTTCCAGGCGTCCAAATCCCGTCTGCATGTCCTCCTGCATCTGCGACCGCAAACCATTGAAGGAGGAATTCAAGGCCGTGATCTCTTGCTGCTGTAACCCAACTTGCCCGGCCAGCTTCTGCAAACCATTGCTCAAACTTAGCAATCTGATGTCGCAGCTCTCCAAGGTCTGCCTCAATCCGACTGAAGCGCTGAGCATGATTGTCCATGTACATACCAACATCCTGACCGCTCGCCTGCTCCTCAAGCTCCTTGCGCACAACAGCTTTGACGTCTGCCCGTATGCGCTGTTCAACTTGCTGAACGCGATCAACTGCTGCTTTGGTGGTGGTTGAAGATGAGGCTGAGGTCTTTGAAGGAGCCTGAAACCCAGTCCTTGTGGGGCAGGACCTTGCCCTGAAAAACGGAACAAAGAATGCCGCCGTTGAACAAGTCACAAAGAGTTACCACGTGGCCCATGGGTCGCGCCCTTGTTGCCAGGGATCTCCTCCATCTGAGGCGTCGCAAATCTTGGTAGAGGAAGCCGCCTCCTGAATGTGTCGACTTGCTTGGTCGGTGGCATGGACTTCTGCTGGTCGATGCGCCATCCCCTTCGTGACCTGAGTGATCACGACATCACCTCCACTGTGCTGAAGGACCTGCGATGGTGGTTCATCTGACGATCCAACCTCCCAGGTGATCCCATGAGGCCCTGCATGATTGGGTTGCAGTGGCTTGGCTGCTTCCAAACTTTCAGCAGCTTCTGAACTGCCGGTCTCTGCGTTCCATGGGGAAGCGGACTGATGTGGTAGACCTTGTCAAAGCGCAGGAATTCAAAGGGAACATCTGGCCTGATCTCCTTGTGCGCCTTCTGCATCTGATCCATGGTGAATCGCAAGCCATAGCGCTCATTCTTCCGAACCAGAGCAACTACCTTCGGCGTGGCAGCCTGCTTGCACGTGGCCTCCCTGAAGACATAGATCGTTGTCCTGACAACTGCTGAAGCGTAGCACTGGCCAAATCCGGTACGCGCATCAAACAGCTGAAAACATCCGCCTCCAAGGGCCCTGACTTCTGCCCCTTGACAGTGCGCCGTCCATGATGACGGTCTCAATGTCCTCATCTCCTCATCATCGCATGGAGCATGAAATCGTCCACAGTTCGGCCCACAGGAGCTGGCATTGCATAGCGTGAAGGTGGGGGCCGTGTCCATCACACTTTTCACCGGCGCTACCACGAAAGTTGCCCAATCCGAAGGCCATTGATCTTTGTACAAAGTTGAGGATGGTATGAACCTGAGCTTCTTTGCTGGCCTCCTTGCGAAGGACCGCTAGCTCTCCCAGTTGAACCAATGATCCAGTGACCAGTATCGCCTCCTTGGCCTCAGCGTGGAAAACGGGATATCGAAGGTTGGTCACCGCCAGGAAGCCCTTGACATCATCTGGTACTTCACCAACCGTAAGGACTGCCAGCGGCTTCTCAGCCCTCTGTGCTGATTGCCAGACCGCTTGCGCCATGCCGTAGCTGATCTCCATCAAGGTGGACCACTGCGGTGTCCGGAATGATCTCCAGAAGGTCCGGATTCAGTTGGTGCGCCATGAGAGCTGTGTGTGCGATCTTACGCTCCTTGGTCTTGTGGGTCTTGCCTGATTTGGAGATTCCGAAGGTGCTCTGCTCCTTCTCGCGTATTTTCATCTGGAGTTCATCATGCTTGACGAACTGGAAGCTGGTGCGCTGACGTTTGCCCATGGCTTTGAGCGTTGCCCAGGGCTGCTTGGTGTTGAGAGCTGATTGCACGTCGCTCTTTCCCAGCTTTTTGAGCGCCATATGCGCGCTTTCCTGCGCCCGATCCTGAGGCACCTTGTAGGTGCCCACCTGCTAGTAATTGGTGGAGAAGTCGATGTAGCAGGATCTCATCTTGAGCAGTGTAGTCTTGGATCAAACCTAGGCGATGGGCCAAATGTAGCAACGTGATAGCCCCGCATGAGAACGAGAAGGTCTGCTGTCGTAGGTTGCCTGCTGAATGGCCACCGTCTGCACCTCAAGTTGATCTGCCAACGCAGCCCCAATACCTTGAGAGAACTTGGCGTTCACAATAGACGCACCATCCCACATGACGAGGTTCAAGCGGAACCAATGTCCTTCATGCCAGCAAACTGCGTACGCCCGCTCCTACTGTTGGAGATGTTGACTGAACTTACCCAAACCTTGAAGCAAATCCTCCATATATAAGTGAGGATCCATTCAACCCGGCCAGTGTGGCAGCTCAGGTGATTGTCCATGTGCTCAATGAACTGGTGCATCTGCTCAAGCGTAACCCCTTCTGAAGGCCGGTTTGGTCCGCATCCGGGTGGCATGCAAAAGGTGGCAGAGCGCCATTGGCGTTCATCAAGGTCAGCGAGGATGCCATGATCGGAGTAGAGCCTGTAGCTTCCATGAGTGTGAAGTTCAAGCTGCCAGAGTGCTTCAAACAGAAAGGATCCCGAAGGGACCCGCAATTCCAACCCGTGCTGGTAATAGAACTTGAGGTGATGGTTTCCGCCGTCTTCCTGGTTCGCTGAATCCGAAGTGGCCCATAGCTGCCCATTGGCTTGAGGATGTGTGCTGGCAAGACAATGTGGTGGCCGTCACTCACTGTAATGCCAATGCCACCCTCCTGAAGTTTGCGTTCAGCACGGATGAAGCTGGCAACGTCTTGTTGGCCCTCCCTCACAAGGAAAATGTCTGGCACTCCCTCTTCTTTGATGCAAACAAGGGCTGAGTCCCAATCTGCTGCATGCGGCCAGGCAACTTGAGAAATGCCCGATACCTCTGCAGCACATGCTGTGGCGACGAGCTCTCACGCAACCCCTTTTGCCTGAAGTTGACCAAACATCCAGGCTGCCTGAAGTGGGGATGCTGATTGTCCCAGCAAGCACAGCCCTTCTCGCAAGTCCATGGGATAGTGATAGGTATCCGGAAAACCCATGTAGTAGCCGAGGCTGATCATCGAGTTCAGAGTGAACGTAAACCCCGCGAAAGCCTTTTTGCTCCAAGCTGCTTTTGCTGAGACCCCGTGCACGACACCCACAACGACATTTGTCATGACCGTTGCCATAGCTGTGCAAGAACTGGACTGAGAGAGGAGCCTCTCTTCCTGACCATAGCGCTGATTGTGGTACAGCTCCAACTCATTCTTGCTGAGCCGGAGTTGTGCTTCGTGATCAGCTGGCCAGAGTGGCCATCCGGGAATGAGGCTATCCACCTGCTGGAATGTGTCCCCGGAGAAGCAACTCATGCAGCGATTCGACGAGGCCTGGACGATTTGGCTCATCTTCTGGACTATCTTTTTGTCACGGTCATCATGGACCTCAACCAGATTTGGCCGTGCACCCGCAAAAGGTGGTGGGCTCTCATGGTGCCGAAGCAGTATGACGTCCAGAAGGTTCAGGCGTGGCATTTCATTTTGATGAGCAGGCAGCCTTGAGAATGCGAAAAAACACCGAACTGCGCCTATCCAACCTGAGAGCTGAATGGCTGACAAGGAAAGCCCGCCGTGAGCACATGGAGCACATGTTGTCGGTGGGGTTGAACTTGATGAATCAGTTTGATGCTGTCATCCAGGCCAATGTCTGCTCAGCATAGGCCATTGTGATCAAGCTGTGCCACGATCTGCATATTCATGATGGAGCCTCCCAATCCGATGCCTCCCATTCCCGCACAAATCTCTTTGAGTGTGAAAAAGGAGTCCTCCGCAAGCCTGGGGTGCACCGTGGTCCATGTCTGCTGCCCAAAAATGAGCTTCAGTCCTCCATCTGCGTTGACAACCTCTGCACAATGCACCACCACCGTCTCAGACTCCCTGAAAAGTCCCTCCGGCGTCTCCACCTCCGTGCCCGTGCGCTGAACTCGGCCATGCCGGCCATCCACCTTGTGGAGCACCGCGCTGAAGCGCTCCGCCGGGTGAGCATCACCCAGCCAGTGTACCATCTGATGCGCCATCGCCCGAAGTCTGCCGACTCAACCCTACCACTGGAAGGTCTCGGGCCCAGGGCTATCCAACAAAGCTTAAGTGTGGAATTGAAGGAGCCAACCTCAAGCGAAACAGGGAGCCCTGCTTTTCCATCCATACAAACAAAAAGAGGCAACCGCCGCAAAACAGCAATGGCGCCGAGTCCTGCGCGTTGCATCCGGACCTGACAAGGTGCCATTCTCGCGACTTAGGCGGGGCTTCCTTCGCTTGCTGGTTTTCGTTGGCCCTGAAACATTCCACCAGGTGTTGCTGCATGATGAGTCCAAGTGAAAAGCAATCTTTCTCAGCGCAGCAAGTATTTTGGTCTTCATGTCCATGAGGAATCCTCAAACAAGGGCCCTCAAAGGCCCAAGGACCCGCGGCGCCAAACAGACCGAACTGAGCCTGGCCTTCCCGTGCGCCACTTCGCAACCAGCATGGCTGTCAAGAGGTCCATGCTGAAGCGCCCCTGGTGCTCCACCCACTGGTGCTCCAGGCCGGCAGCTTCCAGCAAGCTCCTGGCAAGCGGTCGGCGCATGAAAACCACTCATTTTCTTAAAAAAAAAAAAAAAAAAAAAAAACGCTCCGAGCGCACGAGCACAAGGTTGAGCAAACTGCACCCCATTCTCCACGAGGCCCAGTCCAGTTGATGTTTTCAGGTGTCCCAAATGTACCCCCATTCCTCAAAATGTGCAAATTATAACTCCTGAAAGAGAATTTATGTCACTATCGGCATTTTCCAAATGAGTATCGGGTTAACGTTAAAAATGGTCAACTCTTTCTACTTCAACAATGGCTTTGACTTGTGCTCTGAATTTGTTCTTAAAGCGAGTCGTTTCATGAAGAAATATAGACAGGCATCATCATAGAACATAATCTAGTACAGCAATAAGAATAGTTTGGAGAAATCCGGATACCGGTTAAAACAAAACACACAATGAAAACTGTACCCCGATTCAAGACAAACTGCACATGTTCCCTTGTCTGCCTAGCGCACTCCAGCGTGCAGGTGCCCTCCGAGTCAACGGGCACCTGATACTTCAGAGCCTCCAGCATCCTCAGGGAGCCCGATCCAGTCGCAAGAGAATCACTGGGCTCCGGGAAACTTGTGCTCCCTGTATGGGTCCTTTATGTTTTTCATGGTTCCTGTACGGACATCCTCAGGAAGTCGCAAGACAGGGAAGCGTAGAGGTTGTGCCTTTACGGGACATTGAATGGAAGTCACTCACACAAACAGCTCTTCGGCCCCCGGTGTTTGACACACACACACACATCGAACTCCAGCCTCCTGAGGGTTTGGTTGCAAAAGGTTAAAACTTGAAGAGGAGAAGCTGGAGAGAATTGTTTTGGTACCTCGAGAGATTCACCTGGAGGAAACTTTCCGTAAGGAGGCAACTGGGGACTTTCTGTGCATGATGCTCCTACCCCGTTGTCTCCTTAGTATGAGACATGATCAGCTATGTGTTGAACATGAGTACCCCGGCTCGACATCAACCACGGGTACTTCTCTTTGTATGCCACTCCTTCGTAGGAGGAAGAAGGCAGAGGACAGCCGCAGAACGCGCGTGCCTCTAACCACGGGCCTCGGCTGAGCCTTCCGCTTGGCGAAGGTGTCCTGCACCATCTGCGTGGGTGAGCTGAGGGGCGGCCAAGTAGTCAACTCACCTGAGGGCACAGCCATGATTAATATGGGCCATGTAGGTGTCACTCGAAAACCTGGGCAATTATGTGGCTCTATTTTTGGAGCACCTGGGAAGGGAGGCGGAAAGATCTCCTTGAAGGTCATGGCCCGTTCCTCCAAGTCCTCTCGGCCGCGAAAAACACACAACTTTCATTCAAGTCATCAAGCTGTAGGACCCAAACCCGGCCAAAAGCTTGTCATTTTTGCCCAAAAGGTCCTCCGTGCTGTCCAAGTCATCATCTTCATCTCCCTCCTCCTCCTCTTTTGGGCTCATGCCGGTCTCCAAGGTCCAAAGGATGCAGAACAGGGCCGCCAGCCGGGATCTGCTTGAAGCAGATGGCCGCAGGGATACCGGCCCGAAGAGGCGCGCAGACTCCAACCTTGCGCTCTCTCTATGTGACCGTGCGGAAACTTTGGCTCTCACAATTTATCAGATGTGGATCGTGTTTTTACAAAGCGCACATGAGTCCATCCAAAGGATCCATAAATGTATTTTGGCAAGCAACAAGACGCCGGCGGAGGGCCACTCGAAGTAGTCCCCCATAAAGGAATTCAGATCTATCTCTCGCTGCTTGGTGTCGCTGGTCGCGGCCCACTTACCGTTGAAGTACTGGCACGACTTCTTCAAGATGTAGTTGCGGAGGCGCTTCTGCTTGAAAAAGGAATATCCTTCACGCAAATGGCCCAAATGGCTGCACGTCAAAAATAGGGGCCCTACGGCAACCGTTCACATGGGAAGTTGCCCTTCAGAAGCGCCGGCTGGTTTATGTGGGCGCCGTCGACCCAAGGGGCTGAACAAGGGGGGGCCATCATTTTGACATCCGACACGGATGCTCCAAATCGTTACGAAATCGCCATGGGTCTGGTGGATGAGATTTATTTCCAACAAGTTTGTCGTAGAGCCATGGCGATGATTCATCCGGACCAAAAAGGGCACCTTTATTCACTTCTCTGGGCATCCTCCTTAAACAAAGAGAGTGATTCCTAAAGGCTTGCCAATAACAGCCGGATGTGCCAGAATGCTGGGCCAGCCATATCCAGCGCGAGTATCTCATGTGAAGAGCAAAGCAAGATCTGGTTATGGCCGCCACATGCGCGAGCCGCATAGTAAGCAGCCTTGGCCAGCAGCTCAAAAGCTGAGAAAACTACGTTTCTTTTTCTGACAGGTTTCTGTATATTGCAAAGCGGCAACATCCTCACAAACCTTGGGCTGCCAAAACTAGGAGGCTTTGAGGGATTCTCCTTGGACAGGCGTCACAAGTCGTAAGTCAAAGTGACACGTCTCTTTTTGGGACACGTCTCTTTGACAAACCGCAAGTTCAGCTTAGCAGCTCCTGTTTGAAGGCCTTCTCCAAGCATTCCAAGAGCTTGAGCGGGGGGGCCGTCAGCACCGGGGATACAAAGACCTGGACCTCCTCAGGGACTGTTCAAACTTGTGGCTAAACCCACTTTACTGTGAATAGCCATCCTCGTAATTCGGGCCATGTAACGGCCCTAGACTTTGCAGGTGCACAACTTGCCTAACCCTGGTCCTCTGGCTTCTGCAGGGCTGAGCCAAGGTCATCCCGCACACGCTGCTGCCAGTCATTCACCAGCTGGGCAGACTTCGCTGCTACCAGCAGATTCAGACTGCCCTCCTCCACTTCCTGTCGGAGCTGTTGCAAAGCCG